CATGAGCTGGGTACGTGCATTGCTAGCTGCAAATGTAGACACTTGAGATTCAGATCTGATTTTGCTGGGCCATCACTTAGTCTACTTTGAAGGCAAAGATAGTGGACTAGTGGTTGGGCAATCAGATATGTACTACAGTACCAGCTGCTTAATTGGGCTGAGACATAGTGCAAGCATCCTGAGTTGAGCTTTTATGGAGCTGCTCATGTCTGTTTCAGTGTCATGTCTGAAGTGGTTCTGAGATGAGCTGGTTAGGTTCACTCAGAAGCAATCGTTTCTAAATGATTCAGGCCCTACCTTCTTTTTTGCTAACACCAATTTGATTGCAGTTAACTGAAAAGTCAGCATTAATGCCTCAACGGGGACACGGCAGTTTGATTCAAGACTCAGGAGACTTGATTCCCAGGCAGATGCAGGGTACACTTCACTGCTTTTCGGTGTGTACTCTGTTCTTGGAGTTGCATGCTAGGTGTTGGTGAACAGTGCTTTTATTGCTGCAAATCATGCAACTTGGTCGACAGCTCCATATCTCAGTTCATGCAGATGGTCTGCTTTATTTCTGTCACAGCATGTGACAACGATTTTATGGTATATGTGTGCATTTTTCAGTGGACTGCAGCCATGCATACATGCTGTGGTTAGTTTTTGCTGGACATTTCAAACCATAGTCATGATTCCTTCTTGGCCGATGTCCTTTTACTGCCATAATGTAAATGTTCATGCAAGATTGTATTCTTTGCTTAAGTGTTTACTTGGATTTAGTGATTTACTGGATATCACTACTTTCACTGCATTAGGTCTTGTCTTAGGCTGTAAATAGAACGTTTTACTTAACATTTGCAATTTTGCAGTCTTGAGTTCTACAGTTCTGCAGCTTCAACTTTGGTTTTATACAGCGTACACTGTCCTTTCTCTAAAGCATAACTCCCTTGTTTTTTTTTCTTGTATCATTTCATTAAAGAAAGCCTAACTCCCTGGTCAGTTTATGATTTACTAGGGACTGAATGGTTAAGGCACAAAGACACAATGGCATGATTTGGTTCGTCCAGAATGGGTAATGCCAAGTGTCCTGTTCCATATGAAGTTGATTTTTGGATCTCATACTGTAAGATTTTGCTGAAGAATCTTGTTACCTCGTAATGTAAGTCCTAAAAAGCGATGCAATCATTTGTCAATACAATGAAGCATAGTTACAAAGAACAAAAATCATTTCTCTAATTTGCTGTGTTGGCATCTTCATTGATTGATTGCAGAGTGTCCAATTGATCTGGAGGTGGAAGAAAAAAAATATGGGGAAGAGGAAGAATAAGAAGAAAGGATAGGATCCCAATTCAAAAGTACAAAAGAGAAATAAAATATAAAAGTGTCTTGGTGATTTAGAAACAGTTCGAGATTCCCAATGCAAAACTGTCTTCTAGCTTTTAGAAGCGAGATATCGAAACCATTGGAGAAAGCCAACAAATATACTCCATACTAAGTTTCATTTCCGGTCTCTCACAATGTAACTATTTACATGTATCATTCAAGAATGATAAAACAATCTAAGTGCTAAACTGCTAATCCTCAGAAGCTAGAACACAGCTTGCTGGCTAACTCCCATGGATTGTGCCAAGCCATGTCCACAGTGGCAAGGCCTCACCATGGAGCTTAGGAACGCCCTCACCACCTCTTCCGATGCATCTCTCCGAAGCAAACACATCACGTACTCCATGACGGGGCGGCATCACAGGGCACCAGGATCCTGCCGTCGTCACCGGCGAACCCAAACTCCTCTTGCGACATGCTGAGGAGCACGCGGAAGATGGCAGTGTTGAGGTAGGCCAGCGGGACCTCGAACCGCCTGCTGTCTGCCGAGTACACCACGCAGTGGCCCTTGCCGGCCACCGGCGAAGTGCTGCACGGTGATGATCCCTCGGTGGTTCCTTTCGCCGGCGTCTATGCGATCCGCCTCCTTGCCATGGCCGCTACTCTCTGCCACTTCTTCGCCATTTGAACAAGTCTCTTGGAGCTGACCATGTTTCCGTCTCCTGCTTTCCTGGCTAGAACTACAAGTTCAGAGAACTTCAGTTTGTATTGTACGTATCTAACAGGTGGTGTTCAGCTACTTGGTGAGTTGGTTGGTGGAGTGCTTCGCTTGCTGATGGACTGGTCAAGTGTTGGTGCTAAGCCGATGGATTTATAGGTGAGGAGGGGAAAGAGAAGCATGCCGTTCAAGTGCAGCTATCTATCCACTCCGGCTGGCAGGGGACAAGGCCACGAGCTCTCAACATGCAGTGTTGCATTGCAAGAGAAAGGGAGTGTAATTTTGATCGGATTTCTCTGGGCCATATGTTGGAGCCACTAGTGCAGCATTGTCGGGGGTGCTTGGATATAGTTCAGTGGTTGGATACCACAATGCGCTGCCATAGTGACCAGTCGTGTCTAAGAAGCACGCCTAGTGATGACCACATGGAAATTGGGACCAACGTGTCAGGACCATTTATATGTGATCCATTCACTGAGATATCAAGCAATCTGGGCATCTGGATTGGGTCCTCAGATCGAGACATATAGCGTGACTGACAGTTGTCCACAACCATCCGTCCCATACCATCTTGTATCTCTGAACAACCGGACTGGAAGGTGTGCAGCGGTCCAAGCAACTTGCTGGACAACTTCATATCACTTGTTCAGTTGGCGGTCTGTTGGACCACTGGCATCTCATGCGAGCTCCATTTCGTTGCTCCTTGTTACATGGACCTACAAGGTTACAACTAGGCAACAACCAACAAGCTGATAATCTTGGTAGTTCTAGTGTGACGAGGTTGACCACACTGTTTGGTTCACCGCCACCACTTAAAATTATGATCCTGTTTTAACAAAGACTCGGATTCAGTTTTAGCAAAATCTACCTTCCAATGGTTGGTTTCTCGTTGTTCTCAGAGCATGAGTTGATGATATCCATTTGCAGTGGCAACTTTGGCAGAGTCAGTTTTACATATTTTGCGCGGATCAACACAACTCTAGTTTGTCATGATTTTGTTCGTACAATGCCAGAATTAGGTAAATCTAAGACATAAAAACAGAGTAGAACAACCCAGTTGGTTAAACCAGAGTCCGAGAATTTGATGTTCTATTTCTTGGTTAGCAATCATCCTAGTTCCATTACCAATCTACCAAAAGCGACTATTTACATCTTTACATCATGAAAGAAATGGAAACAGCGAGAACAAAGCACCATGACAAGCTCTAGCTGTTCAGTGCTAATCTTCAGAAGATAGGAACAGCAAGTCCCAAGGGCTGCGCCAAGCCATTCCCATAGTGGCAAGGCCTCGCCATGGAGCTCAGGAACGCCCTTTCAACTTCTTCACAGGCCTCTCTCCTAAGCAAACGCATCACGTACTCCATGGCTGCGGCGTCACAGGGCAGCGTGATCTTGCCGCCAATACCTGAGAAGCCGAACTACGCCTGCGACATGTTCAGGAGTTCGCTGAAAACCGTCGTACCGAGGTACACCGCCTACCATCAGCAGAGTACACGACGCAGTGGCCCTTGACAGCCACCGACGACGTGCTGCACGATGACCCCTCGGTTGGCATGAGGCTCTTCCTTGCAAGGGCAGGCAATCTTTGCCACTTTCTTGCCATTTGAGCGAGTCTCTTGGCACTGATCATGGCTGATTCAGTCTCTGCCTTTCTTGTTGGAAAGTTCAGAGAAGCTCAGCTTCTACCAGGTGATGATGTTCAGCTATTAGGTGTTGTGCTTATCTTACTCGTGGGCCGATTGAAGTGTTGGTGCTAAGCTGATGGATTTATAGGGCAGGGAAAACAGAAGGATGCAATTCAAGTGCGGCTATCAGCTCAAGCTGCCAGGAGACAAGGCCATGCGTCCAGAACACGCAATGCTGCGGGAAAAAGCAGCGTGATCTGTTTCGCATTCGCTGGAAACAATACTCCCAGTGTTTGGCCCTGCTAGGGTATCACAATGTGCTTCAATACTGACTTGACTGCAGTCAAGCACCCAAGCATGCAACCTCAAGAGGACCACATGAACACTGGGTCCAACGTGTCCGGGCCAGTTGAGCCTGTGATTCAATTATTTTTTGAGATTAGTATGTCCCTTTTGAAGATCTAAAATGTTAATTTAGTTCTACCGATTGATTACACATAGCCAGGCAAGTTGTTCATGTCCATGGGACATTGTATTTGAACGACCAGATTAAATGTGCTCAGCAGATCCAAATAACTTGGTGACAACTTCACCCGGCTGTCTGTTGGATCACTAGCATCTCATGTGAACTCCATTTCCTAGTTTTCCTCTTAATGTTTCCACCTGCAAGACTTCAAGAACGCAACTAGACGAATGACAATCATGAGGCGAAATCGGGTACGTCCGTACAACATTACAGGAGGGCACTCTGATTCTTTTTGTTTTTGGCATCTGCTGACAGATGTAACTATTAAAGTCACGGTTTGTGTGCGCTCATATCCTTGCAGGCCTGATCATAACTCATTCGCTTCGAATTCAGTCAACTTGTTTCGGCATCCAGGGTACCGATTTCAGTTTTGAACTCTTGCAGCTTGTCATTTGATTAAATCATCAAATCCAAGTTTCCTTGTCTGCGTCTTGCTGTGACAAGTGCCTGGCAGTGGCGGACCCAGGATTTTGCTAAGACTATGGCCAAATTTCACTGGCGAATCGCCGATAGCTACACCATAGTCTGTATTACTGTATACACAATATACATAATACATACATACATATATATATATATATATATATACATGCCACACAGAAAAATAGAAATTTTCATGGAAAGTTTGCAAATGTAAGTACGGTACAGTCAATATAGTACATGGAACATTAGAAAATAAATACCTAGTGCTAGTGATGATTTGTTGCATTCGCATCTTCCACTTCCATGTCCTCAATAACAACTCCTAGTTTGGATAAGATGTAAGAGTTAATAAGAACAGGGATAGCCAAAAAATTAATCTCATTGATTACTATGCATTTGTATCCTAAATGGCTGAATGTAACATACCAGAAGTACTAGGTAGATTAAGTAACTTCTTCTGGATCTTCAATTCTTGAAAATGATGTAAGATGTCATCATTTTTAATGGTTGCAAATACCTCTTGCACAACATAACATATCATCCTATGATTCAACCAGTCATCCCCCATTTTATTCCGAGACTCAGTCTTGACAACCTTCATAGCTGAGAAAAACCTTTCTACTTTGGCGGTTGCAATTAGTAGAGTCAAGGCCAACACAATGAGGCGATAAACCAATGCAAAGGTTATGTGCCTATAAGTTTGAACCATCTTTATAGCAAGAATACCAAGGTCAATACAAGATGTGAATGAAGGATCATCTCTCACATCACTAATGAAATTATCAAGTTGGCCTTGAAGCTGATCATGATCATATTGGGAGAAATCAACATCATAAATCTCAGCAAGTTCAATTAGTTTCTCACGATCATAATTTCCAAAGGAATTCTTTGGATCTAGACAAGCAATGCATCTCAATAAGCGGGTAGACCTTTCAGCAAACCGATTGTTTAATTCAACAATAACTTGATCATGCACCACATTAAAGATCTCATTTTTGAATTGATGGTAGTAGGTTACCTGGTATTAAATCTGAGCGAGAACAGCTGACACCTCATCATCCAGCTCTGAAATAAATCCCAAACTCGCCAAATACTGCGTCCACGTTTAGCAATATACCACGAGCATTTAGTTCAGTGATATGGACTAGACCTTCTGAAATTATGGGTAGTGCTCAAGAAAGAGAACTCATATTGAAACACATGTGGATTTCCTATGCGAGGATATCACCCTTCAGTACAGGAAACACATGTTGAAGTAGAGCACAGAGCACACAAGCATAGGAGAGACTACCAAAACATTAAACATGTGATACTCCAACTGATTTCAATGTCGGCCAGTGGAGTTCCACTGCAAGGTACTATAGCATATTACTAAAATAGAATCCTCTAAATCAAATCATCTTTAGATGATAGCTACCTGACGAACCTTAGGTTTCCAGTCATGGACACTGAACCAAAAAGAACCCCTCCCTGAAAGGCATTTGCTCTGCCAATATCTGAATTGCACTACAACCCACCTGGCCCCTCAAACTTCACGATGGCCCCAATTAACATGGGGTCCTCCTTCCTCTTCTCTGCTACAAACCGCTCAGTATGGCTGCAACGCGTAGTGTCCAATCCAAGCACCAAAAGTGCACTACTACTGGTTCCGGCATCCACCAAACACTGGGTCCCATCAGAATCTGATCCCAATTATATGCAATGCACCACCTCTTGTCCTTCGTCTCTTGCCAAACATCCTACTAGGCTGGATGACTTGCTCTTTTCCTCGGCAGCTCAGCTATATATTCAAGGTCAAGCAGCCTCCAAACACCATCAATTGCAGCTTCACAAACAAAGTGTTGGAAACACAAACCAGAGCTCTCCAGTTTCCAGTGAGACAGAAGAAAGGAAGTGTAAGTTACTTCAAGTAACCATGATCTGTGCCAAGAGGACTACTCAGTTGGCGAAGAAGTGCCAGACGATGGCCAGCGCTGGGGAGAAAGCGGCTCACCTGGGGGGTGGCAAAGGAAGCCGATGAGTGCTGCGCCTCTGTGGCAGTCAAGGGGCACTGCGTGATGTACACTTCAGATGGGAAGCGGTTTGAGGTTCCACTGGCATACCTTACCACATTGGTCTTCTCAGAGCTCCTGCGGATGTCCCAGGAGGAGTTTGGCTTCATGGGCAATGAACGGATCACGCTTCCTTGTGATGCCGCAGTCATGGAGTATGCCATGTGTCTCCTCACGGGAGGCTCCTCAGCAGAGGTAGAGAAGGCATTCCTGAGCACCATGGCAGTGTCATGCCACTATGCAAGCTGTATTGCACCATCTGTTGGAGTTAGCCATCAGGTTGTTGTTTGCAGATCCTAAATGAATGTAAAGTGGTTCAGTATAGGTTGTAGGAAAAGCAAATTTCTCTATGGAGCATTTTGATTCTTCAAACAATCAAGGAAGTTGCAAATTAGCATGTTAGAGCCATTATTCTTGTTCTTTGTAAATATACTCTGCTGTACTGATAAATGATTAATTAAATATTAGGACTTCAATTACGAGGCAGTAAATTTCTTCTGCAAAATCTTATGACTTGAGCTCCAAAAGTTCACGGCATATTTTTTTTTTTTTTTTTGAACGCAAGTTCACGGCATATTGCACAGAGCAATAGCAGACACACACTTCCATTCTGCCCGAGCTAAATCATGGCATTGCCCAGGTGAAATAACAAACGGACAAGGGAGTTAAGCACTGGAGAAAAGACAGTGCATGGTGTTTATTCAAAGTTTCAACCATGAAATTGTGGATTCAGGCTTGCAAAAGTGATAGCCTAAGCCCAAGACTTACTGGTTTCAGATTTATTTTGCTGAGCAAGTTGTCCTCTAAATCCAAGCGAACACTGAACACCCTGGCAACAGAATTACAGAATGCAGGCTTGCATGGCAGTTTACATTACTGTAGCAGTAGGGTGAGAGGCGAACAGCCTTAACAGATGCATAACCGGGATCTGAACATTCCAGCAAACGCTGGCCATGGCATGTAAGCAAAAAAAATGCTTGTAGGCTGAGTGGGGCCTGCACACAGATACCACAAAATTGGATGTCACATGCAATGCTAGAAATCATGCAGACCATTGGTGGCAATTGACATTGGGACTGTGGACTAAGTTGCATGATTTGCAGCAATCAAAGCACTGCTCACCAACACATACCATGCAAATGCAACAGTAAGTACAGAGTACATAAGACCGGACGAAAAACTCGAAGCTCGTTAGTTCGCTCGGCTCGTGGCTGGCTCGACTCGGCTCAGCTCGACTCGTTATGATAACGAGCCGAGCCGAGCCAAGATTTTAGCTCGTTAGCTATAACGAGCCAACTCGAGCCAGCTCGCGAGCCGCTCGCGAGCTAAACGATAAGCTTCCAGGAAAAAAGTATCAAAACTTGTATTAGTTTTTGTATTACTTCATGTCTTGCACTTTACAATTGATTAGTAACTGGTCTAGACCCTATAAATTGACTGGTAACTGGTCTAGATGCATTTCTTTTGTATTATTATTATTCTCGAACTTTAGATAAATGCAAATATTATATTTTGTGTATTTTTTATACTTGGCTCGCGAGCTTAACGAGCCAGCTCGAGCTTTTAACGAGCCGAGCCGAGCTGGCTTTCTGGCTCGTTAGGATAACGAGCCGAGCCGAGCTAGCTCGTTATCTTAACGAGCCAGAACGAGCCGAGCCAGCTTGCTATCCAGACTTAAGAGTACACAACCAATAGCAGTGAAGCGAACCACGCATCTCCTCAGCTCATGGCTCTTGGACCATCCTGCCATGTCCCCAGTGAGACATTGATGCCGGCTTTCAGCTAATCACCATCACGTCAGTGTTCCATACTTCCATTCTCTCAAAAAGGGAACAAATAGTGTGGTCCCAAATCATTCTTCAGAAATGATTGTTTTGAGCAAGCTCAACCAGTTTATCTCCAAATCACTTGATACAGGGCACTGGGAACACATGGAAGTGTTAGGTTGATCTCCACCAAGTTGGCCCAACGGTTAATTTGGGCCTTTGATCCGCGCCTTGATCGGGGGCGCCCAACCGATCCATGGTTGGTGGGCCCCCGTTGCACAGCGCCAAATAAAAGGAGGTGGGGGGCGGGGCACTTGGTACGAGGTTCACCTGAACCGCCAGACACCCCTCCTACAACCCTAATCCTATCTAGAGAGTATTTGCCAGCGACGGGAAGACTCACCGCCGCCATTGCATCAATCCCGACGTCCTCGCCGCCCTTGGACTGTGACGTCTACACCGCCGCCGGACGTCACTGCCACCTCTTCATCGACGTCTATAGGGTCGAGATGGCGGACCAGAGGGGGTGAATAGTCCTTTCTATAAACAATCGCGTCGGCTAACCGTAACAAATGCAGAATTAAAACTATCGGTCTAGCCAAGACTACACCCCTCTATCTAAGTTATCAAGCACCTTGAAAAGATCCTAAACAAGCAACTAAGGTACCGGGCTAGCTAGAGCTCACCAAACCAATTCTAGGAGTAAGGTCACACAAACCTATACCACTAGTACTTCAAGCACGGGGGAGCTCCTATACAATTAGTAAGCAAAAGCACAAAGCTCCTAAGCTCGCTAGCAGTGCTCAATAACAAGGCAACTAATGCCAAATTAAAGAGCGCAAATTACTTAGCTACACAAACTAAGCAATGTGACTACCAATGTTACTAAAACCAAATTAGCCATGCAAGGGAGCTATTTCTATGCTACACAAGCAAGAAGTTAACTAGCAAGCTACTAAAACCAAACTAGTCACAAGAGCAACTACACAAGCACAATGTAAATGAAAGTAATACAAGCATGTGTTGCGCCGAATGCAAACCACCGAGAAGATAATGAAGACAATATTGACACGGTGATTTTCTTCCGAGGTTCACTTGGTTGCCACCAAGCTACGTCCCCATTATGTCGACCGCTCACTTAGTGGTTCGGCGGCTAATAGGCATCACCCGCCATGCCCACACGTCGGGCACCGCAAGAACTTACCCCGAAAGTGAGGGTAGCTCAATGACACGTTTAATTAGAGTTGCTCTTCGCGATCCCCGCGGAGTGAACACAATCCCCCTCACAAATCCTCCTCCGGAGCACCGCACAATCTTCTCGCATGCTTCAACGGAGTCGCAAGCCACCAAGCCATCTAGGAGGTGGCAACCTTCAAGAGTAACAAGCACCACCGGCTTGCAACTCGATCACCTAGGGCCACTCGATGCAACCTCATGATGCAACGCACTAGAATCACACTCACTCGCAATCGAATCGCACTCTTGCAAGCACAAGTGAGTTAGAGGGCATCCAAGCACACCTACACAAGCCACCTAGGCTTAAGGGTGCTCAGCAACCAGCCCAAGCCCGAGCACCACCTCTATTTATAGCCCACAAGCCAAATAGAGCCGTTGGAGCAAAACTGCTGGTTTCTGCAAGGGCACCGGACACGGCGGTGCCCCTCCCAATGGTCGAATTCCAAACTAGCCATTGGTCACCGGACAGGGGTGGAGGTGGCACCACCCTAGGGATGGTGGTGAATACCTAGCTAGCCACCCGAAACACCATGTCTCTAGAAATTTAGGGTGGTGCACTGCCATCACCATGGCGGTGACCAGCCCTGCTTCCTCTCGGCTAGAAAGGGGCGGTGCCCACGGCGGTGGCACCGGACACAACCTGGCGGTGCACTGCCGTCCCAGGGGTGGTGCCTGCCCCAACACCAACTCCTCTCGGCCCAGTCAAGGTGGGCACCACCCTAGGGGTGGCGGTGCCACCAAACACAACACGGCAGTGCCAGCTCCAACGCCTGCTCTCGGTCTCAACCAGCCGGGCACCGCCACAGGGGGTGGCCGTGCACCGGATAGGGGGTGGCGGTGCCACACAGGGAGCACTCCGAGCCTAGTTTCGCCTCTACTTCTTCACCAACTTCTTCACCTTTGCAAATGTGCTAGCACCATCAAGTGAACATCACCTTGTGTATGTGTGTTAGCTTTTCACAAACATTTTCTCAAAAGATTAGCACTCTTTTCACCACGCCACTCGATCCAAGCAACGATGCAAAGTTAGATCACTCGAATGGCACTAGATAACCAATATGCAAACAAGTTTGCCCATCTTGATAGTACGGCCACCTATTCTAAACCTGGTCATAAACATCTCCACACACCTATGACTGGTGAAATAAAATGCCCTAGGTTATACCTTTGCCTTGCGCATTCCATTCTATCTCCTCCAATGTCGATGCAACACATGCACCAACATGATTAAACAATGATATGATCCACTACATATCATCACGTGATCATATTGGTTTATCGATCTTGACTTTACTTGCTCTTCACTGTTGCTTTGGTCCATCGACGCTAAGTCATCACTTAACTTGCCCTTCACACTTACAACCGGTCCATCAAGCAAGTCATATCTTGATCTTCTCCACCTTGATCACATGACTCAATGTCATGTCTCATGTGCAATGAGTTCCTTCATCATCACATGTGTAAGCTTTGCAATAAGTCTAAGCCATTTCACCTCTATGGCATATGTTGCTCACACGCATGTACTTATGGACTAATCACCTATATATTTCACTCAAACACATATTAGTCCACCTAAGGTTGTCACTCAATTACCAAAACCAAACAAAGACCTTTCAATCTTTTTCTTTTTGGTAATTGATGACAACTCTACAAAGATATGAAAAATAAGCACTTTTCGATTAATGTTGCTTGCCCAAGCAATTTTACCATGTGTAAATAATTTTGGACAAGTACCATAAACCCTAATTGATAGTATTAGCTCCCCCTACGTATGTGCTAGGGTGTTTGTTTTGAAGCTCGCACATATGCATAGATTAGAAATGTGGGAGAGTAATTACTACCAATGATGCTAAGGTGTATAGAATAAACCTTTGAAGCGTGATACCAATCGGAGTTGCACTTTTAACACCATCCTTAGCACCATGAGTAGCTAGACATTAAAGATACTAGAAACCCCGTGAGATCAACGTTATAAGTAAGGTTCTAGTACCACATGTAGAAGTACAAGTCTAGCTACCATCCTATGCATGCTAGTTATTAAATCATTATTCAAGTTCTACAACTAGCATACACCACACAAGCATGCATATCAAATTTAAAAACTTATGCAATGCAAGCAAGTGCATGAATATGCACATATCAAATGCAATCAATCAAAGTTCATAAGCTTGCTCCCCTACTTATGTGCATCTCTTGTCCAAGAATTTTGATCCTTCTCA